TAAAGGAAAGCCCCCTATTATGAGATAGGCGCTTAACATAAGATAGCGGCGTTTCTGCTAAACTAATAAATGCTATCTGTTGATTCTATCATGAAATTATTGCTCTTGGATTGAAAACTATTTAGTGGAAAATTCATTGTTAGATCATGCCTACAGTAATTGTAAAATAAAATTTTAGAGTTTGAATGTTTTCAAGTTTCATTGAGATAAGCCTTTAATCTTTGTTTATTATTTAATAAGTAATTATTTGGCAATAAATTCTTCATGCAGTAATAGAGTAAGATCGTACTGATAGAAAAATACGAAATATGTTGAATTGTTTAATTAAAGAAGTTAGATTTGATGATCGTAAAGCTGTAAGACGTGATACTCGTAATATGAGATACCCAGGATATTTCTAATATGAAATAATCTATACTTCTGTGCCCAAGTGAAAATCGATGTTAAAGTATAAATGGTATTGTACAATAATAAAAAGAATAACCGTGAATGAACATTGAGGGTCTGTTTCTGCAATACTTCATTCCAATTACTACTGAAGACAAATCCTGAATACAATGCATGCTCAATTTACGCGCATAGGCTGTACTCGTCGATATGTTAGAAACGTCAAAAGTTTTTTTAATTCTAATACTGATGTACTTACTTTGTGCTTTATTATCGATTTCTCGGGGTATCTCATACTAGGAGCACAATTTTTCGACTTTGCGATTTGTTCACTTTTTACATTTCTTTAATTAAAAAAGAAAATAAAATTTGAATTAAATTTTACGTAACACTATCTTAAAGCTTATTCAATTCTCTTCAAAATAACCTATTATTTTTTTTAATTCTACCAATAAATATTTAGTAATTGCACAAAATGAACTCGGTATATCATAATAGGGGCCTCTCCTCTATATTTGCAGGCAAATATATGGCAGATGAAAATGAAGCACCTATAATTGATAGTAACATATTGAAGATACCTTGTAACACATTATTAAATAATAATAGCATTGATAGCTTTTCACCATCTCGAAGTATAAGTTCTAATGCAACTTTTGATGTTCGAGCAGTTACCAATTAAGGTAAACCATTTAGAGCAAATTTCAATAAATGTTGCTGTACTGTTCAATTCTTGCCTACCTTTTTCTTCAGCGAAGAAATATAAAGCACTACTAACATCTCGACTCAATATATTTCTTGCTTTATTTACTTTCATTCTATTAAATGTACTGCAAGTTATACCTTTTTTTGAAATCTTAGGTGTTAATTTAAATTGCAGATTTTCTTGGATGTCAATTAAATCATTTAAATGTTGGCACTTAGCAATAGAATGGGATAAATTGTGTGTCCGAAGGAATTTTTGTGGCAACTCAATAATTTTGTTATTTAGTAATGAAGCTTTAAGATTTTTTAGTAGATGCGGAGCATCAGCAATAAAAAACAATTTTCGACCTTCATCAATAGGATGAGAAATACTATTCCTAATTTTTGAATATTTGCTACACCCAATCCCTTCAAATGCTTTCCACATGCTGCAATTTACCGGACCCATGTCGGAAATCACACCATGAACATATAAACCAATAGCTTCTGCTTTTTCTATAATTTGTAACATAATGGGTTTTAAAATAGCACCATTTAAACTGTCAGGGGTAAAATGATACGCAACAGGAATTTTCCAACGTGTAAAAAGACCTCCAAGCATGAAAACTAGGCAATGTGTAGTTTCTTTTACTGTACCTATTAGTTTGTAGTATTGGAGAAAGAAAAAGGAAAATAGAATTAGTTATATGCATTAGTTTTTACAATCTTATACGATCAAGCTTATATTTTATAATAATATAATACTAGCATTATTGATAATATTTCACTTCAGTTTGACGTGATTTGACGATTTTTCCATGTTGCCATAGATAACTAGTATTATTGATAATATTTCACTTCAGTTTGACGTGATTTGACGATTTTTCCATGTTGCCATAGATAATAATATACCTCAAATCACTTCAAACTGAAATGAAATATTATCGATCAATAATATCTGATCGTATAAGATTGTAAAAACTATAAATGCATACTGTCAGTAATACTGACCAGTAATACTGACTCACAATCAGTAGTACTGATCAGTATTACTGATCGTGTAGAGAGGCCTATAGAGAATGGATTGCGCAATCTGTGTGTCAAAATGGTCGATAAAAATAAGAGAGAGGGTAAGTAAGAAACCGTGGAAAACGGCCATCACTATCTCTTTCTATTCAACGATGTAATGGGAGAAAGAATGAGAGGGAGACCGTCTTCCACGGTCCCTCTCTCTCATTGTTTTTGACCACATTTGATACACTACTTAGATACAGATCGCGCAGTCAATTCTCCTTGTTTTTGGTGTATACCATGTTTATCGGGCAGAGTTGATAGTCCAAAAGAACATTTCGTAGATGGATCAACCTGTTCTCCTGCAGCAATGCTCATTTCATCCATGACTAATACGCAATCTCTTTCACGGTTGTCAGTAAATTGCAAAACTTGTTGTAATATATCAAATATATCATTACACACACCGGTTTCGAATTTAATATTCTCTAATTTTCTTCTAAGCGTACGCTCTGATGGCAAAGGAATGTTTTGATTCAAAAGTTCTGTGTAACCAGTACTACCACAAGACATTTTTAGTCGTAAAGCTTTTATAATGGTATTATTACTCCATTTTAAACTTCGTGGATTTTGTTCGTTCAGAGCTGTAACCTGATCATCATTCAATATTTTGCGGATGTCGATATTTTTGCTTGTTTGTAATATACGTATTTTCTGTGCTAATTTTTTATTTTCATCCATAAGTTTTCTTGCGTTTCTCTTTAGTAGCGTTTTTGATTTATCTAATTTTAAAATTATCGCATTTGCTTTCTTCAATTTTATCTCTGTTTGTTTAGCTCTTATTTTTATCCGTTCTATTTCTTCTTTTGCCTGTTCAGACTGTAATAGTGCATTTTGGAGTTTTGAATTTGCTTCTTCAAGACTTGTAACAGTAACTATTGGCAATGAGACATTTGACGAATTTTCAAATATAGTTACTGATGGCGCAGTATGTACTTCATCCTATATTGTGCGATATACATATATCAAATACATATATAAGAAAAGTAACAATAATTTAGTGTATAGAAATAACTAATAATATGAAACTAATCAGATAATAGGGCTACGAGCCATAATTTTCTTTAATTTTTGCTTAATTCTAATATAGTTGCGTTTTTAACATTAAAAACATAGATTAAAACAGTAAAAAATTCGAGTAAAAATATTAAAAATTGTTTGAGTTATACTGCTTGCCGTATAAAAGTTTTTTCCTCGTATTCTACAGGGTTGAAAGGATTTTTTAAACCCCAAAAAAAAAAATGATTTTTTGAAAATTTTACAGTGGTGTTACCCCTTAAACAATAACAAGAAAGAAGATATTGCAAAGAATATTATTACGTCGACTCGCCATCAGAGGTCTATTCAATTGATATTCGTTAAATTTCTCGCAAGTGCTGAGATACACGTATGTCTCTTTATATAGAGTCTCGATTTAATAACTTACACCGGCGTCTAAGGTAGGCTCCCACTACATTACCTTACTGATGAGTCCAGTAGTGGAAGCCGGGACGAAACGCCAACTTGTGATATTCTTCGCAATCTTATATGGAATTAAAATTTTAATGAATCTATTGCTCAATGTTAATTTTAATTAATCTATGTTTTCAATGTTAAAAACGCAACTATATTAGAATTAAGCAAAAATTAAATAAAATTATGGCTCGTAGCTCTATTATCTGATTAGTTTTAAATTCGTTGAGCCTTATTACAATTGAATTTTAATAATATGAAATTTAACTTACATTAAAAGAATGAGAGATCATTTCATTATCTGGTACTGGAGATAAAGTTATATGCACTTTGTCCTATAATGCAACAACAAGTATATTAGAAATAATAACAATAAAATAAAAATAAAAATTAATGCAAAATTACATTAAAAAAAAATACTTACATTGGAAGAATTAGACATCATTTCATTGTCATGTACTGGAGATAAAACAACATTTTGATTTTGATTTTTTTATGGAAAAATGGTAGGTATTGCATTGTATTTTAATTTCTTTTTCCCATCTATTCGTGGTTTTTCCCACATTTCAGGTGAGAAATGTACCTGTTGCATATTAATAATAATATTAATACAACTATTTTTAAATATGTCCACTAAATTAAACAATATATAAAACTTACCTCGCATACAAACCAGTCTTTTGTAACATCTATATTATTTCTTTTTATATTTGAAAGCCATTGTTGTTGTCTTTCAATATTTTTTGGTAGGCGATGCATTGAATGTCCCGTTTTCCACGAATTGGAACATTTCAATACGCAACAAATAAGGCATTTTAAGTACTCTGTAAATAATGTATTGCATAATAAAATTTCTTTTATGATTAACATATTGTAGGAATGTTATTATTTGCTAGGTTATATATAGAGAGCTATATATACTTACGGATTTTACATTTCTAACAAATATGAAATTGACGAGTTGCAACACGATAATAATTTAACTTACTGTGTATAAATTAATCGATTGTACTGATGTCCTTTAAAAGGCTATACGTACGTATACGTATGTCCGCAATATGTATTTCGACTTTTCGAGAAAGCTGTGATCAGCTGTGATCAATCCCCATCACTTACGACGCCATTTTGAGGGGTAGTGGCCAGACTCTATCTTCTAGGGACACTAGTTGGGTTAAGTAACCACCGCCATTTTAATTCAATATAAGTGCTCTTGACCAATAAGCTGATGACAGTTGATGCAAAAGGTAGAAAGATTAGATTAGGTTAGGTTAAGTCCGATATTAAATATTCACATAAATAAGAATACTTAGGGTGCAAACCCATGCAGCGGAATAGCGTAACGCGGAACGAGAGCAGAACCAATAACGAGCATTCCGTGTTTCTAGAGAATCTCGTGATTGGTTCTACTCTCGTTCCGCGTTACGCTATTCCGCTGCATGGGTTTACACCCTTAGGGCGGGTTCACACCTTGACGGAAAAGCGGAAAGCGGAAGAGCAGTTAACCGATCAGAACTCGTCCTGGTAGTAAAAAGTACAAATCTAACAGAAAGTCGACTACTTGATTGGCTACTGCTTTTCCGCATTCTGCTTTTCCGTCAAGGTGTGAACCCGCCCTTAGGACAATGTGACTCCAGCCTTAGGGTAGCTGTCAACGTAATGACAGAATCAAAACATATAGCGAATTTGATAGCCTGCACTAGTGTACACTGAGTGTAAATCTTCCCAGTGCAGCGTGTTCGATCGATGGCCCCTATTTGGTGTACTGCACTCGTCGCATTCGGTAATATTGCACTATTATGGTACACATCATGTGCTGTGTTTGATTAGCGTCACATTACACTAGTGTAGCACTGACTTTATATTCGGATAGATAAAGCAAACTGAGCGAGTGCAAAATTTCTTGCACTGCCAATTTCGTCAGTGCAGTTTGCTGACACTACTGAGTTACACTCGCATAGTTTAGTGCAACACAAATTCAGTGTAGTATTGGCGCGGTGTAGTGTAGCACTCGTACAGTTTAGTGCAACACAAATTCAGTGTTATGCTGGATTCACACTGCATCCGATTTTCGTCGTACGACGACTCTGCAACCAATCAGAAAAATCGTATCATCGATACGAAGCAAAATTTTGTTTTCTGATTGGTTGCAAAGTCGTCGTACGACGAAAATCGGATACAGTGTGAATCCAGCATTAGTGTAAGTCGACCGAATTCGCTAATAGTGAAGAAGTGCATTCTGTGTGCCGCGAAGGTTAAAAATTTCAAATGGATACCATAAAATTAAGATAAGTATAAAAGAATAAGTTAGTATATCAATAATAAATTAGATGGTGCATAATAATATGTTAGATGGTGCATTTCGTAATATAAATTAAAATTAAAATTGAATTAAATAAATTAAATTAAAATTTTTTTTCCTCTTCAGTTTGGCTGTGTGAATGAATTAGGGTTGGATTATACTGGCCGTAATCTGTTAACTTATGCTGTAATCTGTAAAAAATGACCAATTATAATCGATAATTCCCCTCTCATTCGACTGTGATTGGTCAATTTTTACAGATTACGGCATAAGTTAACAGTTTACGGCCAGTATAAATCAACCATTACTGTCGCCTCTCAAACAGTGCCAAAGAGGATACCGAACCCGAAAATCGCATGTTTAGACTTTTCGTTGCAGAAAGCAAAAATAAAGATGGGCGTTAAAATATATACTTATTACAGATCCGGAGAAACTCGAAGCCGTTCGTTACTATATCTATTAGATGCAATAGTGAATTAAAATGGCTCTCTGATCACGTGATTTAGACAGCTAATCAAGCCATACCCTTCAATGACGCATCTCTGTTTTCTAGGTCTCTACTGTAGGCCTATTCTGGGTATCGATCATGAAACCTTTCCCTAGGATGAAAAGTGAAAAATTTCTTCATTAACTTTAATGGTAAAAATTTTCACTTTTCACTTTCCATCCTAGGAAAGAAGTTTCATGATCGATACCCTGTAACTTTTTAACGACAGTTCGGTATCGTTATACTGTCATTGCGCAGCTTTTTCGCCATGTGAAATACCTGCGCAACGATATTCCTGTCTAGTAAAATTGTCGTTAAAAAGTTACAGGGTGCTTTCTAGAATAATAATATTGAATTAAAATGGCGGTGGTTACCTAACCTAACCGACGCAATGTCGCATCTCTGTTTTCTAGGCCTCTAGGTGCTTTCCAATTACAATATCCCTAGACACTTTCGTGCACATGGCGACACTAGAGTCCTAGATATCAGAGAAGCGCAACTGGCTTAAGTCAGTATCGCAAAATTACTAAGAAAAGTATTAAAAATGGCGTCGTTTGTAGACGAAATATGAAATCCATTAATCGTCTATTAGTCAGCCATTTTTAATACCACTGAATGAATGTCATGATTGGCTGACAGTCAGCTAATCAGGACGCGGAACATTGGTTGCGCTTCTCTGATATCTAGGACTCTAGGCGACACAAGTTACGTTCCAATTGTCTATTATTGTCGACACAGTACTACACATCTGTACTTAGCCGAGGGCTGTGTAGCCTTGTATTTTCTAATGACATTCTATTCGGGAGATTATAAATGAGGTTGGAGAATATGAATTTTCGTTTTTTTTTAAATGCAGTAAAGAACAGAAGGAAAAAGCAACGAAATGGACGATGAAAATATTATTGAAGTAAGTAATTATTTGGTATCAATAAATTTTTGTTATAAGTATATATTTAACAAAATAATATATATATATTTTTTTTATTTCCTTGTTATATTTTTTTGTTTTACATATTCATAACGTTAAAAGAAATAAAATCTAAAATACCTTTTGTCTTCTCTTAGTCGATCTTTTCAAAAATATTTTTAGATTATATGCATTATAATAAACAAATTTTTGTACAAATTTATAGAGTGCTATGCTAATTTTTCATAAATTGTTCTTCTAGTTGAAATACACGGAAATGCACCACCACGGATTACAAAATATTAAGGTACGGGCATGTACTAAAAAATTAACCTTACTCTATTCGAAATCGCTGTTCCAATTGAGTCATGCACAACGCTACACTTTGTGCATTCCTGTGTACGTTTGTGTCAAGATGTGTTGAGTAATTGGAAAGCACCCAGTAGTAGAGTCCTAGATATCAGAGAAGCGCAACCGGTGTGCCGCATTTTGATTAGCTGACTAATAGACGATTGGTGGATTTCATATTTCGTCTGCAAACGACGCCATTTTTATTACTTTTCTTAGTAATTTTGCGATACTGACTTAAGCCGGTTGCGCTTCTCTGATATCTAGGACTCTAGACAGTAGAAACGTCATGCAAAAAGATTTGCAAATTAGAGATTTGCGTTGCACACTCTTCCATTATTTTCACAATAATTGCTATCAATAATAAGAGAATGACTATTGTCTAGCTTATTTTTTTTTCTTTTAAGTATATTTCTAATACTAAACAAGAACCGAGATTGAATGGGCGCATTCAGCGGACTCAACAGTTGAGTAAGCGCTCGCTATTATTGGTGTATCCTTCCAGATCTAAAATTCTGATTGGATGATCTAAAAGAATACACCAATAACAGTGAGCGCTCACTCAACTGTTGAGTCCGTTGAACGCAACCAATCTAAACCAGCAACCATAAACCGACAATCACTCACAATTTTTCGTCTCTTTTAATTCAAATTGCTGAGTTGGAACTTTATCTGAATTAAAAACATAACTTAACCTGTTTTCAGATAAATCAATAAGCAAATGCTTAATTCGCACCAATTTGATATGCGTACTAAAAAATTTAATGGTGTAAATGGAGTCACTGTATACATAAGTATTGTTTGTTTTGTCTCTCGGGAGCTGCACGGAGTCAAGCCAGAAACACATAGAAAAACTAGTGACCCTCTAATAAGAGTCTGGCCACCTTCTCCCCGGTTTGTGATTGGTCCGACATTTATCATCCATTCCCGCAAATTTCTTTAAATTTATAAATTGTAAAAATTAATAAATTCGTAAAAATTAAAGTAGAATCAATTACAATTTTTATTTTTATTATTATTTAACTTATATTAACATTATTAAATATTTTCTATAAAAACTTTTATGTAAAAAAAACGTTGCAATATGTCTTTCATAAAATAAAAACAACAATTAA